AGCTCTCTGCCTCATCAATTTCCCACCTCCTCCACGTCTGCTTTTCTGTTTTTATCCTCTTTCTCTTTCTCCTCTCCTCTCCTCCCCCCAGGCCACCTCAGCCTCTCCTCTGCTCCCATCAGTCTTTAACCCGTTCCTCCTCCGCCGCCGCCCTCGTTCTCCTCCTTTCTAAAAGCATATTCGGACGGTCGCCTGATTCAACACCAACAATGCTAACCCAGACAGCCTCTCTGGTCCTCCGACAGACATTCTTGCCATTCAATATTTACCACCGTCATGCAGGACGTCACCGACTCCATCAACCCAATGGAAATCCGTACAATAAAATACAACATTATTTACCGAAATTTACATTTAGTTCGAGGGGGGTTGCTGTTAAAATGCTAGTATGATGCTTCAGCTGTTTAATGAATTGCGTGTGTACCAATAAAGACAATTACGTCCACATACCAAATGCATTTTGGGTAACTTTCTCCACATATTTTCATAAAGTAAAACAATCTTATTGCCTGACTCCATTGTCATCTCCATCGGTCGAGAGGTTCTGACAGTCCTGAGTCACTGGGATCATAACATTTTGAAAAAAGGGTTAACGGACATCAAGTCCAAAGTAGTACTTTGAGGACACTAAGACTGAATCAGGAAAACATATTTCATCACTTGTTTGATTTATTATCTATGACTGAAACTGTCGTTTACAAACTGGGAAATACTGCCACTAAAAGTGTGTGTCTCTCTGAATGAATTGTCTGACACCTTTCATCCAGACACGTTGACATTTCTATTGTCTAAGCGATTATGTGTTCATTTATCTCGTTAACTCTGTTGAAAAGTTACACGTCTAGCGATCTGGAGTACGGAATTTTACTATTAAAATCACAGTAACACTAACCTACTTCTAAATGGCAGAATTAAAAAAAAAAAAAAAACGGAAACACGTGCCCGTCTTGAAATAACACCATCATCAGCGAAAGGCTTTCATGACCTAAATTGAAACACACTTTGTCAAAAACGGGAATTAAAGCGACAGGACCGCTTCTCGTGCGCGTCCCATAACTAAGCGGTTGTGATGTTGTTTCTGACAAGTGTTTTTCGACTCCTGCCGTCCTCGACAAAATACAGCCATCTCTCAAATTAAGCAAGGAGACTGAGAATGGAATAGTACATGCTATTTGATTCTCATCAACAGTCTGAGGTTAATGACTTTTCATTCAGGGCGACAAGGAAAATACACTGTGATCACGTGATATGTCTGCGCTAATAATATACAATAAGAAAAAATATTTTTTTTGGAGTTTGGATGTGAGAATTAATGTCCACCTAAAATATATACTTGTGAGAGCACATTTTCACAAGGGAAGGGTCTCTCACACACACACACACACACGCACGCACAACACTAGGCTAGGAGGCTTTCAGTTTCTAAATCAATCCCACATCCGTAGCTAATGTAGTACTGGGCCCTCTTCAGGATGCATTAGGCCTATTAGTCAAAGTGCACATTCCTCTGTGTGTGTGTGTGTGTGTGTGTGTGTTTTGAAGCCGCACACTCAGCAGCAGCCGATCTCAGTGGATCCTGTGAGGTCAGCAGGTGCAACAGGGATAGAGGGACCAATTTATTGTGTGTGTGTGTGTGTGTGTGTGTGCGCGCGCGCCTATGTCCCTCCCTCAATATCCTCTGGGTTATTTATCACTCTAAAATTATCCTCTATTTACTGGAAGAAACTGGACAGACAGACGGACAGAGAGAGAGAGAGAGAGAGAGAGAGAGAGAGAGAGAGAGAAACATGGACACTCCCGTTTGAATGTCTTCCTGGATCACTTATGGCTGCGCGCACACACACACACACAGCAGAGACAAACAGACTTCTCGCTGCACCAAACAGTATAATTTGACGAGTGAAGACAAGTTAAAACATCTGATCGACAGACAATCAACCAGAGCGCACATTTCACTAGCGGTGAGGCTAATGTAGCATTCACAAAAAAAAAAAATGTAGAGCAGACGAATAATGTAAGTGCGCGTGGAACATTTTGAACGTTACAAGCGACAGTGGGACCTGTGACGGATCGTGATTGGTCAACAAAATCAAATGACTTTGTTTCAATTTACATGTACAATGGAACCTCGAGATACGAACCTCACGATCCGTTCTGGGATTGAGCTTGTGGATGTGCTCGTATCGCAAATAATTTGTACCCATACAAAATAACAGAAAAATAATTCTTCGTATTTTTTAGAAATGTCATGTTTTGCTTTGTATAAATAGAACGAGGTAAATATTCTAAACTTCAAAAAAAGAAGTATTATCACTCCTAAAATTGAGTAAAAAAAAAACAATAAAAATGTAATATGTTTATCGTTATAATTAGTCAGGCCTAATCGCAGCTTCACTCTACACAGCATCACACTGCACCACAATGTGTTGCAGTGTGATGCTGTAGAGTGAAGCTGTAAATCCAAACCTCTGACACAGGATTCCCATTAAGCTCTTGTATCAACTATAAATCCACCCAGGGTCGTCATATAACATATACCACACTGACCTGCCGATAGTTAGCGTTAGCCTCGAAGTAATGGGTCGGGCGACGTTACATAAAGGAACCAACAGATTCGGAATTGTTTTACGACCCATAATTTGTTCCAGCTTAAGGTCAATCCAGTTAAGTGACTCGAGGGACAGCATGAGGAATGAGCAGAGGAACAAGGTCCAACTTCTGTCTGTCCAGTTAATGGCAATGCACATCTACCCATGACAAACCTCATCTGAAAGAATCATATACTTCTGTCTATCATCGCAATGTTTTTTTTCTCTTAAGGCTAAGCCACATATATATTGTTTTTTTTCTTAAGGCTAAGCCACATATATATTATGATTTTCCACAATGCCATCACAATTGGTATCTCAGACCTTGCGCTATATTCTCATGGAAAGTATTTCTGATATGTAAACATACATTAATACTCATGTTGTACCAGGGTCAGGAAAGTATTTCTGATATGTAAACATACTAAACATTAATACTCAGGTGCATCTTATATATTAAAATATAATAAAAAATATAACTTTACATCTGACAGCCGCTAGAGGGCACTCTAGGCTGTACCAGCGTCAGCTACTCCTGTACCACTGAAAATTTACATGTTCGTTATTTTCACACTGACAACCACCAGTGTAGAGGGCACTCTAGGCTTGTGTACCTTGAATTCCAAATTTAAAAGCGTGACTATTTTGACATTCATTTTTATTTGTGCTTTGGGTTATTTAAATAAATTACTTCGAATTGTGATAATTACGTTAATAGGCTTTTGGGTAGGGTTTAAAAATAATTCTGTATATATAAATATAATTATGCAAGATTTATAAGTAAAGTGACCATGTTGCTCTTTATGAAAGCACCCAGGAAATAAGGACACAAAAATCCAATCATTTATCCATTGGTTAAACCTGATATGGGGAAAAAACGCTGAATGTTCAGTACTCAAAATTCACCAGCTCATATTTGAGCCATCAAACCGAAAACTCAAATATAAATCGGCAACAAATAGTGCCTACTGCACAATATAAAAGACAATCTAATCAGAGGGATCATCATATTTAACAATTTTTACGACAAGTTCGGTGCGAAATACAGACATCCAACAAGCCCATTTTTCTTCTCCTTCCTTTTCATGGCCTTATGCCCTCCTCGAACTGCAATTGTCCCTGAGGCTTTTCACAATCTGAGATCAAGTCTCTGCAAATCAATGTCTTCCATTCATGTCGGTGCAGTACGTCCACGTGAGCATGTACATCTAAACCCACAGAAGCTGGTGCACGTATACTTTTGTGATTGCACTTCCTGTGCGCTGCCGACAAGATCAATGTAAGATTCCCCATCTTGCCCCGAGTTGCCTAGCAGGAATAAAATATCATAAACGCCGATGTGTATAATAGGCTGTACTAATGCCAGCAGTAAGTACTCAGACAGTTAAAAGACCCGTAGAACTGCTGAGGATGGAAATGAGAGTAGGGTAAGAGAGAGAGGGAGAGCGAGAGAGAGAGTCATTGGTAAAGTGAGAGGAAAGAGAGGAAGGAGGACACGAGCAGTGAAAGCGAGACAGTGAGGCTGGCCATTATAAATCATATGCGCTGATGGCGCCGGTCATGTATCCTAGCAACCAGACATATCCTCTACCCCTCCTCCATCCTTCCTATATTCTGCTAATAACCTGGTCACTCTTATTACCCAAACTGCACTTGGCACTGCCCCAGAAACCCATAACGGTAGGGCGTGGAATGTGCTCGCAGCCAGCTGACCGTTCTGCTCAGGGTTCGTGATAAACTCTAACTGATCGAACCGAACCCAGGAGTGCAGCATAATGGCCACTTAGCAGACATACAGCAGACCGTTCCCATGCACAAACACGCACAGATCTAGATACAAACCTACAGAAATTTGCCTCTAACACGCTACAACAAATAGCATCTAGTAAGATACAGGGATGAAGCTTGCTCCGTGCTGCAGCTCTGTTCTGTCTCCTAGCTGAAAGCTTCACCCGTTTACTAGTCTCCAGACAGCTACTGTCCAATACGACAGTCATCCACTTTTAGGCTTGGTTACAGCCTCATTGTCTGGCTTATGAAATTTTGAGCACTCAGCAGAGTGAACAGACAGCAACACACATGGAGGACGAGTGTGGGCGCTGCCATGAGAGTGAAGGAAGCGAAGCACTCAGGAAGCACTCAGTCAACCCGAAGTCTGCAAGCCAGCAAAAGTGGGTGGCATGAGAGGAAAATTATATAGTTGAGCAGTGAAGTACTAAGTAGAATCACACTAAGAGTGCGATAAGTGGAGGATGAAACTCTACCACCTTGTGGCCCAAGACTGGGCTTCATCTAGAATTCTTGAAACGTGAAAGGCTATTAAAATAAAATAAAAATTATTTAATATTTTTTAATCAGCTATGATGAGATTACAACCTGTGCAGGGTGTACAGATCTTTGGTATGGATACACAACTTCAGGGTGACCAACAAAACGTGAATCATTTTGCCGAATGTGCAGTAATATAATACGTAGTATTAAGTTGACCAAACTAAATGTTAAATGCAATATGCACAATTATTTTGAAAAGAATTTCAATTGGACTTACCATCAACTCGTCAAGGCCTGTCGATGCCTACAGTAGATAACATTTTGTTTAATAATGTTGATAATGTCTTCATCTTGGTGTATGTAGCTCCAAGTTTCTAAAAAAAGGAAATAAATGGGATAAGTCTACAGGCAGCAGGTACAGGTAGATAAGTCTACAAAAATTCCCTTTTAAGACTGAAATTCTATTGAAAACTCTAAAAACAAGTGAAAAGTAAGTAGTAGCTAAACTGCTACCCCCTGAGCAGCACAATCACATTATCTACCCAAATACTTTTATGAATATCTGTCCTTGAATTTGTGTTTTTTGTAAATTTTCAGTGTATATCCATATTTAATCCTGTGTTAAATTTTATTTGGGCTATTGTGTATTTATCAAAAAAAAAACACAAAGTACTCTCAATAAAATGCTAGTAAGCTAAGCGCGTTAGATCTGTCATAGAAATAGTTGCCCTCTGTCCTTTAGCAAATTTGTCAGTGACACAAGGTTTAGTGTTACCGTGTGTGATGTCATATATACAGTACGTCTTCTGCTGAGCTCAGATGGATTCGAGGTGTACTGGTTTGTGGGGCACTTCCCCGAGCTTGAAACGGCAGTGCTTGGTGCAGATAGAAGTCTTCAAGTAAACAGCTCTGAAAGAGAACAATACCATTGTTCAATTTGACCAAACCAAACAGAACACAATTGTGAATACACAAATTACACACTTCCCTTCTAGGTTTTTATGCTTATTCTGGTAAGTACAGGCAGAATGACAATGTTTGCCACAAACTATAGCTGTGGTGGAATATCCCAAAACTGATATTTCTCATAACTGATGGGTGTCTGATCAAACAGTCCTGACAAGGCAGAGGACCAAATACTGTCCCTCTTGTGGACCACCCAAATTATCATGATGTTATAATATAAAAAAATATTTTAACATTCCAAATGCCATTGCAAAATCCTCTACTGGTAGCTTAGACCAAGCATGGGCAAAACGTTTTGACTCGCGGGCCACAATTGGTCCTCAAATTGATCATGGGGGGCCGGGTCAGGAACACAGAGATGGAGCATTCGTGTGAACTAAGATTAATGAAATGTAAGTTATGCTAAACGCTAAAATACTAAAATGGGCCTTTACTACGCCATCTACTGGGGAAACGTGGGCATTGCAGGGAAAAGGCAGACGTATAATGATAATATAAATAAACTATATCATTTGGAAAGGTTAGCGGCGATAGGAATATACTATAATATATACGATAGGAAATACACACACACACACAAAAACAGAATGTGCTCTTGATATTACCAGCAGTTTCAGAATGAATTCACAAATGTACATTGTTGTAAATGCATTTTTCCCCCTTGAAACAAAGTGCTAATTTTAAATATCAAATTCACAGTCAGGCCTGCAGGAATTCTTATGTATGGCTTATTTTTTCAGAGCTTTTCAGAGCTACTTGTATCTCATTTTAAAAGGTAAAATGTGTACAATTTCTTTTCTTTTTTTTAGTTTAGTCTGAATAAGCTGGATACAGAATAGTTCTCCTTTACTACACTTGCTGTAGCTAGAAGCATTAACTGTTGTTTTAGCATGCCTAAAACTTCTGACTTTATATTTACGTCAGACTAGGCCTCTGTTTGGAGGCAGCCATGTTGGAACACTATATTTTGTCATAAGACATAACTGTCTTATGTTAAGTAACTGCTGGAGGCAACCAAATGTTTCACAACGTATAACGCGATATCTAAATAACAAAGGACCGAGCGTGTGGCGTAGTAACAGAGTATGCTAATTAACGTGCTAATCAACTTGACGTTCACACACCTGCTCGGCTATGGGGGTTCATTTTTTCGTGCTTATAACAAAAAAAATTACAAGAGAAAAAACCAAAAATAAATAAATATATAAAACACAACTAAAAACATGTCAAAACAAACGACAAAAACAAATTAAATACGAGCAGAAATCAGCCATACTCGTCTCATCCCACTGCTGCTACGGTTTTGATGATGCTTTCAAGTGCAGTTGGTGTTATGCAATTTGGAGTTCCCGGAGCAGTTTAACACCGCGGGTGGTCGCTAAACTAAAGTCTGCCGGAGGGACTTCTTCACTTAAAATTTATACTCGACAATAAAAACGTTTGTTTGGAGAATTGACATCAGGGTATCAGGGTGACTCTCACACTCTAGATGTGTGAAACATTATTTACGACCGGGACTTAAAACCATCAAAATAAAGTTTATGTTCTGTCGCAGACGGACGCGCGACAGTAGCACACTATGCGCAGGATGTCTGAGAAGATAGAATCTAATGACGAGCCGAGGTGAGCTGCACTCTTAAAATAAATATATTTTTTTTAATGTTTACTGTCGAGTCTTCATGTATTCTACACAATTGTGTTTTGCTGTTTGTTGAAATGATGGCGTTTCAAATGACACGAACGCTAGTGACCCCTTCAAGTTTTCGGATACTTTTTTTGTACCATGTAAACACGCGTGTTTTAAGAGAAATAAAATTATGTTTGTATTTTCAATAATTCTGGATTTTTGTTTTGGCGTTTAGCATACATGCCTATTTCTGTGTGTAATGTGTGTGTGTCTATGTATGTACAGAACTGTATGGACTGTGTGGATTCTATACCGCCACAGCACAGATAACAAGGACGTCATATGGACAAAGTTCATTTTATGGTCTGTGTTTGCATGTACTTTGTTTCCATCGTGTCTTCTTGGCTGCATGTGTGCACGTTCGAATCCCAGCTCCTGGATGTTAAGTTGGATTCCCTCCTGGTGCCCTACTTCTGCCTCCCAGCTGAAAGATGCAGAGGAAAAAATGCTTAAAAGTAAGTGTGTCTCACAGGTGTGAGGCAGAGTATATAAGAATCCGAACAATAATTGGAGGGCGAATAACATCTTGGAGCCATTGTTATCAAAGCTAAACTCCGTCCTCCATCTTTATTTTGGCATCTCTTCTGAACCGCAGGTGTGAAGACACCTTTCTCCAGGCAGCATGTGCGGATATCCAATGACAACTATCTGTGGACAGTGGCTTTTTTGACACACCCTCATCAGTACTCCTCATCTCACATCCAGCCTGAGTCTCCCCTGGTTCTTCTGCACGGCGTCGGGGGTGGCGTCGCACTCTGGGCCCAAAACCTGGATGCCTTCTCCAGTAGTGGCCCAGTCTACGCTCTGGACCTGCTGGGCTTTGGCAGGAGCAGCCGTCCCCAGTTCAGCAGTGACTCAGAGGAAGCCGAGGAGCAGTTTTTGGCGGCTCTGGAGGAGTGGAGAACCAAAGTGGGACTGGAAAAAATGGTGCTGCTGGGACATAACCTCGGAGGATACCTGGCTGCTGCCTACGCGCTCAAACATCCCCACAGGTGCTATAGTCAGGATTTTTTTCAAAAATATTTTTAACCTAAAATATGTAGCTTCCCAAACTCTCCACTAGGAGAGTGACGAGGTAATACCCTGTGCGTTGTTTTGGCCATTATATACCATTTTTCTCCACTATAAGTCGCACTTATTTACGTCCTTTGGCTAGGTTTGTGACTTGTACTCACTGCCTTTGGCTAGGTTTGTGACTTATACTCACTGCGATTTATATATTAAAATATAAAATATCACATTTGTTATTTTCACACCCACAGCCGCTAGAGGGCACTCTAGGCTTGTGTACCAGTATCTGCTACTCCTGTAGCACTGAAAATTTAGGTTATTTTCAAACTGACAGCCACTAGAGGGCACTCAATTCCAATATTTGGCCATGAATTGATTGACTTTACACTTACATAGTAACTGCTGTGTGTGCAGGGTCAAGGGCCTGGTCCTGGTCGAGCCGTGGGGCTTCCCCGCACGTCCCGAGAACAGCAACCACTACTCCATTCCTGTGTGGATCAGAGCCATGGGGGCAGTGATGAGTCCCTTCAACCCTCTGGCTGGACTCAGACTGGCTGGGCCTCTAGGTCAACACAAACAAACACACATCCACTATTGCTTCTTTCTACTTCTCCACATAAACCAAATGTAACCAAATGTATCTTCATATTTAATGAACTATAATTTGACAAAACATCATGAACATGAAGTGTTTGTGCTTTTTTTTTGTTTTCGAAAATTGATCAAGCGGGCCAGATTGAACGCCCTAGCAGGCTGGTTTTGGCCCACGGCCCATATGTTTAACACCCCTGCTTTTAAGACTGTTGTCCTTAATGTCCTAAATGGCCATGTTGTATTTTCAATAGGCCAGTTTGGCTGTCGTTTTATCATAATATCACAAGTGGTAGAAAAAAAAAATTAACGACACGTTTTCTCCTCTCTCAGGTCCAATGCTGGTCCAGATGATTAGGTCGGATTTCAAACAGAAATACTTATCGGTTTTTGACGACAACACTGTGTCTGACTACATCTACCATTTAAACGCGCAGACTCCAAGGTAGGAAGGTAGAAGTACGCAATATTATGCGATATGTGTAATATATAATTGCATGTAAGTTCCGACTTGTGAAAATTCAATTTACGTATGTTAGCATTAGGAACCGACCTCCGATAAGTAAGTAAGTCGAGGACCCCGCTGTATTGTGCTATTTCTTAACGCATAATCCAACACGTGCTATATTTTAATTTCGTAAATGTTTGGGTTTCAGTGGAGAAACGGCGTTCAAGAACATGACCATTCCCTACGGTTGGGCCAAAAGGCCGATGCAGGAGAGAATCGGACAGATCCGAACGGACATTCCCATTTACTTTATTTATGGATCGCGCTCCAGCATTGACAGCAACCCCGGATGTGACTTTAAGAAAAGAAGACCTGATGTGGAAATCATAGTAAGTAGCTACTGACTATTATCTAGGGTTATATTTTCGTAACCGTGCCAAAAAAAAAAACCCACTCTGAACGAACACTTTCACTGCTCCACTGTGTGTTTGTCAGGTGATCAGAGGAGCAGGCCACTATGTTTTTGCTGACCAGCCAGATGACTTTAACCAGGCTGTTCTTCAGATCCTCGCACAAACACAGGGGACGACTGAGAAGGAGGCCGGGTGAGATCTGCGTCGACTGCAGTTTCTCTCTGCCATGAACTTACTGTAACCGATCAAACGTTCTTTTTTTTTGTTTGTTTTTTTATTTCATACCCGGACCCTGTCCAAGGTTCGAGGTCACATATTCTTCCTCCGGTGTCATGTAAAAAGATTTTATAAATAAATGTAAGATGAGCCTGTGTTGCTGACTGTGTTTTT